GACAGGGCAGATGTACATGAAATGTATTTATGTAAATTTCTTGGCAGAAGCTCCTTGCATCTATCTCAAAGTTGTGCAACACTGAAAAGAGTCATTCACACTCCAATATACTGTTCTAAACTATTCACAGTCGTCTGCAATGCTCTTCGACTTAATGATGGAAATTGTAATTTTAATAATTGTGTTTTGTTACTCTCACATTTAATGTGATGCTGAATTGGCAAACTTAACATGTTTTTTTTTTTTTTTTTTTTTTTTTTTTTTTTTTTTTTTTTATAGCAAGTGACACAACATCAGTTGATGAAACAGATCAACTAGTAGGTCTTGTTAGTGATCCCATAAGGGAAACACTTTTGGAGCCCTCTGCTTCTGGTAGAGAGGAAGTAAGTTTAAAATTCCAGCGAAAAAGTTCATTTCAGATCTTTGGTTAATTCTGCAAATCCAAGAAATGGTCATTAGCATGAAACATTGAATAATTTGCACAAAGAAGGTGACAAAACTGTTTTAATTTTTGCAAACAAAGAAACAAACAAAGAAACCAGAGACACAACAGTGCTCAAAATTCTCGCATAACAAACAAACAAACCAGAGAAAAAACAGTCTGCAAGATTTTTGTGTAAGAAAAAAAAAGCAAACAAACAAACAAACCAGAAATGAAATTCTGCATGAGATTCTCATGTAACATAAAACATCAACAGAGAAGAAATAGTGGGAAAGATGCAAGTGTCGCAATCAAACAAACCAGAGAAGAAACAGTGCATCTTTTCTAACTAACAATACTTGATACAAATGTGTAATTTTAACTCTTCATCTTACATTTTGCCAAGTCTTGTCTTACTCTGAACACTTTGAGTAAATATGAGACAAGAATATTCTTAAAACCACACCTTGAATGAATGTGTATAATTAGGAGCTTTATTGCATTGAAGCAACATTCTTGTTTTTGAAGTTATTTATTTTCTTTAGGTCAAAGAGGACCCTAGAACTCACCAGAGCAAGCTACCAGTAGAGGAAGAGAAAAAGTTCTCTTTAAAGGACAGATTCCAGCCTGCTTACAGCGCCGATTCTGAGGACCTGCTGTTTAACTTTTCAGAAGATGATGAAATTGATAGGATCAACAGGAAAGCCTTGCTTGGTACAGGACTGTGAGACTTGTGTTACTGATGTGTTTGAAAAACTTGGATAAAAAGATAGAATTGATTTGCGTATTAAAAGTTTGGGCTTCTCTAAGTGTTGGAAGTCGACATAACTTTGTTAATTTTCTATTTAAAAAAACGTTTGTTTTAGGAGTAGCATGCAACTGTTGTGATATTTGGCCAAGGTTTTGAAGGGATCATCATTCCCATTACCCACAAATAATAATAATAATAATAATAATAATAATAATCTTTAGACAGGGTGCGTTCTCACAAAAAGTGGTTTTCAGAACGGCCCTGTATAAAATAAATTAATAAAGGAAAAATAAATACAAATTACAGACGTTGAGAAAGTATATAAGCTAAAGGGATAGAATTGCTACATCACAATACTTAAGATTATGTAAAAAGGCGAAAAATTGGTAATTTACAAAATACTATGATAAAGACTGCACTTTCATTTTAAACAATAAAATTGATTTTGATTCCTGAATATCTGGATTAAGATTGTTAAAATCATTTGATGCCTGACACCACACTGACAAGTGGGGAGGCAGGAAATGTTTGAATAATTTAATTCTCGTGGAAGTAAGATTACTTGTTCACAATTATTTAAGTATGACTTTATTTGATGTGTGCATGGAAAACAAATATCAGAAAGATCCTGCTGGAAGTAAGCAGAATAATAGTTAGTCGCTATACTACCCACCAAGCTTTGAGGCCACAGGTTGGGGGAGAGATAAATTTGAGTACCAAGGTTCTTCGTGGTCACAAAGGCATAAATTGATATGTTACACATGTTAGCCAATAAAGAGTCAATTTTGGGGTCATGTTTATCCTAGGAGTCACTGAGGAACACCTGGATGAGAATTTGTGGACAGCAGGCTCTGTTGGCCCCATTAAACCATCTGAGACCTCTCGTGCTCCTGTGTCTAGATTACTGAAAGCTGTTAAGGCCAGAGACTTTGACTTGGCAGAAATGGAACTAAGGAAAGTTGAATCCAGAGCCTCGGCACTGAGTATGCTGGCAAGCACGTCAGCTGACAAATCACGGAATTTGGAGAGAGTGAGGTGTGCACTAAGCTTGTGTTATAGCAAGTGTATTGTTTTGCCCATATTTAATTATTAAAAGTTAATGTGGGTGGAACATTGTGTGACATCCCAAAGAACAGGTGTGTAGGAGAACTAAGATGAAACTCGACAGAATCCTTTTTTATGGGTTATTGTTAGGTTTTTGGGACTTGACTAAAAGAAACTTCTTATTAATCCTTAAGAGTGACAAGTATCTTATTTCTCCTGACAGTACCCCCCTGAATCACACTTTAAAGTCTTGAGAATAAAGAAACTGATCACTGACTAAAGAGGTTCTTGATTGTTAAACAAATTCTCCTTGTCAGCACCCTAGGAAATGGATGGAAAACAGTATGAAGAATATTCATACTGAACTTAAGATATAAAGGGTTAAATTATTCAGCCACAAGTTATGAATGCAAAAAAGGAAAGTGTGACCACAGCTACAAAGCTTCCAACCTAAACTGAAGGACTGTGTTTTTTTTTTTCCTCTCTATATTTTTTTTTTTCAGTTTTTCTCAACCACTTCAAGTAACTAAGCTGTTTTCCCCTCTCCACCTTCTATTTGTCTCATTGTTATTTTTGATCATCCATTTTTATTGGTCAATGGATTTGCTATCTAAATATTCCCCCTTATTTCCTAGATGTGTTCGGGTCTGTGCAGGAGAGATTGAAAAACTCACACCACTTATCATACAAACAACACGTGATGTTAGAGATGATCCAGGTGACTTGGTGACTGTTGAGCGACTTCAGACTATTGGTCGAGAATGGGCTTCCAAAGTACATGTGCTTTCTGGAACTGTTGATGAAATTGTTGTGCCCTGGTCAGCAGCAGCATCTAAACTGGCTCTGGCTGCCACTTCTGGAGATGCAGAGCAATTAAAGAAACAGGTGAGGTGACTTGAGATATAGTAACCTCTCAAATTACAATTATGTGTCTCAAATTGACAAAGAGACATGCTTTGGTGTCCGTTCTGTAAATGTTTTAAAGCTGACATTTTTAGCATAAGCCATCTCTGATTCACTGACAAAGGCCTCAAAAGGTCAGCTTTAGAAACTCATGGCTAATTTAAGGACATGAACTCAGTTGATAAAACAAATTACCCCCCACTCCCCCCACTGAGACAGCACCACGGTTTATTTAGACCCCACCCCAAGTGGCTAACTGACTGGATATTTATGTGAAAAAAGTACTCTGAATAGTTGTATATGTTGCTGGATACATGGACACAACTTTGAAATTAATATTTTATACATATTAATGTGTAGTTGTAAATTAAATTAAGATGATAAGGCTATTCTGGTGACAGTTGTTTTCAGAAACTTGTCTTCCATAGTCAGATGCAATGCCAAAGGAAATTATCGTGAAAAAGTCTTCATAGATAATTAATTTTTTTTTTTTTGGCATCACACACTTGGTAACCCAGTTTATTGATTCTCTGAAATTTTTTAGCAAAAAGGAGTAAGAAAGGCAAGAAGGAATTAATTCAGATGGATTTGTCAAAAAAAAAAAAAAAAGCTGAAAAAAAAGACATCTCTTCTTCCTGTGGATCAAATCTGCCATTTGTTTCATGATTTTTTTTTTCTTTGTGACGGCCTTACTGCCATCACCTGTCTGCTTGTCGGTAAATAATTTGTTTTGAAAGCAGAAATTTCTTATTGATGAGGAGTAAAAGGGGTTAACATTTTTCTTTGAGGGGGGGAGGAGGGGGGATTAATGTGTTAAAGCTAAGAATATTATGTCCAGTTTTTAAGTGCATGCATGGTTGTTCTGCAACAATCACTTGGATAAGATTAAAAGATTGGTTTCATACATTTTTTTTGAACATACAGGATATTCTGATCACCTACAGGTGAAGTTTAAATTCTTCAAAAATTGTGGAATTTACTAAATGATTTTTTTTTAAAGTCCTGAAACAATCATGAACAATTAGACCAAATATGTTGAAAAAATGGGAAGAATTTTCGAGTGCTTTTTTCCTATCCTGCAACAAGTACTTAATTTCAGGTGGAAATTGTTATACCTTGTGAAGTTTTCCTGCCTCTTGTGGAATTCATGTTTATTTCTTGATTTCCTTTCTTTTGTTCAATTTTTTTTTTTTACTTGTTCACCAATGTCAATTGGTTTTTACATGTCCTACTTGAATAATTTTGGACAAAAGTGGCCAGGAGCTTATTCAAGAAAATATGCATTTGTTTCACATCATGTACATTTACACTTCCTAAAACATTTATTGTTGGTTGGAGACATGGAGTAGAATTTCTGTCCAGGTTCAAAGGAAGGTGCAGAAAGTAATTCAATCTGAAACATGGTGAAGGCTTTGATAGGGGTGCTCCTGGCTTTTTATTTTTCATGTAATTCCTTACCCCCCCCTCCTACTTAACCCAGGGTTGATGAACATGTGACTTCTCCCTATGATTATCCTTCATTATGCAGCAAACAGGTAATGAGAATACTGAAATTGATCAGGTGGATGTGGATATCTTGATCTATCACCAAATTCTCATAACTGATTTACAGGAAAATTTGTAACAGTTAAAGGAAAGAGATAACAATCTGATCTTAAAGGGTTATGAGTAGGTGCTGGTGATCTGTGCTTCTATGGGGGACTTCCAGCATGTCTCTCTGGTAAATTTATCAAGTTTTTGTCCGATATCTAAAAGGCTGCACCCCTCCTCCTTCCCCCGCTCTGCTCCTCCACCCTTTTTCATAGCTTCCAAGTTAGTTCCAACCATAGGGGATGTAAAATCACAACACAAGGTTTAATCAGTTGAAAAGTTTATTACACATTGATAAATTTTGGATTTCTAGCTCTATTAACAAATACTGGTTAGTTAAAATCATAACTGTGGTACTTCATCTTCAGATGTTTAAGTGAAATTCGTAGTCACAGGCCCTAAATATGTTCAAAACTACTCTAATATGTACAACAATGGCGGAAACCTTAAAAAATTGTTCAGAATAATACGATATAAATCTTACACTGCTAACCTACAAAAACAGGCTTTTGTTTTAGAAGCGTGTAACTACTTGAACCGGAACGCTTCCATGGGAAAAAGAAGAAGAAAAATAAAACAAAAGTACTCTACCAAAAAATCTACATTGTATTTACTTATATGATTCGCTTATAACTCCGAAAGATCCGTAATAAGCTCCACAGAAAACTATTCCTTGTGACAGACACAAGCCAACAAAGCATACCGAAGCATGCAGTGAATTTAGTATCGAAACTAACCAATCAAAAGATGAGAAAGTTTCCTGAGAGGTTCGAGATTTGTTTGTTCCCTTTGCAGTAATCCTTCTGCTTTTCCTGAAATATTATTGGTTTGTTTAAAAGAAAAAAAGATCGACAGATGACTGGAATTTCTGAGGCTTAAAAACACAGTGCACACATAGACTGACTCTTACTCACTAAACTCAGTGCGTTTTGCCTACCAGCCTCTGTGATTTTATTGTTGTAGAGGTATAACGTGCGTAGCTGACAGTTGTGGTTGCTGATGGCTTCAGCCAAGTGGTGTGCTCCTGTGTCTGTCATGTTACTGCTTGAGAGGTTTAACACGCGTAGCTGACAGTTTTTGTTGTTGATGGCCTCGGCCAAGTGCTGTGCTCCTGTGTCTGTGATCTTATTGTAACAGATGTTTAACGTGTGTAGCTGACAGTTGTTGTGGATGGCTTCAGCCAAGTGCTGTGCTCCGGTGGCCGTGATGTCATTCCTTGCGAGGTTTAACGTTTTTAGCTGACTGTTGATGTTATTGATGGCTTCAGCCAAGTGCTGTGCTCCAGTGTCGGTAATGTTGTTGTGTGAGAGGTTTAATGTGCTTAGCTGACTGTTGTTGTTGTTGATGGCTTCAGCCAAGTGCTGTGCTCCGGTGTCTGTGATGTAATTCGCTGAGAGAGCTAACCAGCGTAGCTGACAGTTGTTGTTGTTAATGGCTTCAGCAAAGTGCTGTGTTCCAGTGTCTCCGATGTTATTGTCTAAGAGGTGTAATGCGCGTAGCTGACAGTTGTTGTTTGTGATGGCTTCAGCTAAATACTTTGCTGCTTCATCTGTCAATTGATTTTGTCTGAGGTGTAACCAGGTCAGTTGAGATTTCCTACATTTTAACAATTTACAAACTTCTAAACAGCCTAATAGATTTATGTTATTTAAACTCAAATCTAAATGTGAAATGTTTGGAACATTCTTAATTACATTTACTAATGCAGAGCAGTCAACAGCTGTGAGTTGACAAGAACTGAAATTAAAAAAATTAAAGTTAATTTGTTGTATTTTTCTCTGAACTATTGACTCCATTTTCTTACTCTCGTTTATACACTTACACAATGTCACTGCTAAATCTTGTTCGTCGTCAGTCGGCCAGCAGGTCACTTTCATTTTGTTCTCATTTTGTGGCCAGTCTTCGTTGTATTCTGCGCTTTGTTTCTCTTCGGTTTTCGCAGGAAGAAGGTCGGTCATTATCTCGCCCGGTATATGATCTTTGTCTTCCATTAGTCCTGCCAGGAACTGCAGAACTAGCTGCCATTTTCCATCCTTGATGTTGTCGTTAACAAAGTTCCTTAATTCAGTTTCACTCATATTTGCTAGGTGCCTTGAAGCAAAGAACTCTTGCATTGTAAGATGAATGAAACAGAATTGTCGTTCATAAGCTAACTCGCCAGCCGGACGGTCGGGTAAGCGGTGGAAGAGAGCACTGTCTTCCATTTCGCGTACTTTTTTTCCTTCAATGATCAGCTTTCCTTCTTTGATTCCTTCAAACGCCACTCTTCCTAGTTTCTCGAATGTCTCCTCCACATTTTCTGGCAATTTATCTGATACAAAGTGTTCGCGAGTCAAACGTCTGTCGCGGAATTCTTTCGTGTGTTTATAATAAAACACTTTCACTGCAATCTTGTAAATGGTTGTTAATTTGGAAGGGAGAGTAACACCAGCGGAACGGTCGAGCTGCAATATTTGTGATAGACTTGAGCACATGATGAAGCTGTTTACAGGGATGTAACACAGCGAAAGTAAGTTCATGTTGCTGCTGATGTGTCGCCATAGTGTTTCGCCAGCTTGCTTGTCATCTCCGGTAAATTTGTAGACATATTCTTCAATTTGCTCGGTTGAGAATCCCAGAATCTCAAAGGTTTTGTCGAACGGAAGGTCTACGATGCTCGCCAAAGCTGTGGGTCTTGTGGTTGTTAAAATTGAAGCACCTTTAAGGAGTTTCCCGGTCACAAGCCATTGATAAAGGATTTGGAGCGGCATTTTCTCTTCAGTGCTTTTGGGACGAGGAGGCGCCACGACCATGTTTGCGTTGTCTTTGAATTCGTCAAATCCGTCAAGAAGTATGAGGACACCTTCCGGGTGCTCCAGTATGTATTTCCAGACCTCATCATCCAGGTGATCTGAGGGACAATGTTCTGACTGAGTGAGTAGTTCCCTGAGGCTAAGGTCGTTTAACGAGTTCAATCTCCTGAATTTTAAGAAGAAAGCAGCATCAAAGTGGATTCGGGCATTAGTTGTTGCTTGAAAAACTTTATCGAATGCCCAGTCTCTGAGAAGTTTGGTACAACATAATGTTTTACCGATTCCGGGTCGACCGACAACCAAAACTTTCTTACTTTCATCGTTTAGGAGGTCTTCCAAGCTTTTCAGTTGAGATTCTTCCTTGCACGACCTTGGATAAACTTTGAGTTGCTCCTCTCTGTTTTCAGTAAAGTCATATGTAGCTCTGTCTGGAATTACCACGAGGTTCGTGTAAATCTGATCCAGAGTCAAATGTGTAACTACTGCGTGTTCGCCAGGAGGAGCTGAAAACGGTGATCGGAGTTCAAAAAGGTTTTGGGTGTCTTCTTTAATTATTTCCTTTGTTTCCGCGATAAATGGTTGAAGCTTTGATGTTTGGGGTTGTTCAGGTTCCCTTTGCCTTTGAGAAACATTATCATGTCCGTTCCTTCCATCTGGCTGTGGAAGTTCTTGATGCGACTCGATTTGATCTCGTGGCTTTGGTGGTACAACATTATCTTCCTTTTGAGGTTCTATGTGCAACGCGACTTGGGTCAGACGTTGTGCACACTCTTGTGGCTTTGGTGAGACAACAACATCTTGCTTTTGAGGTTTTAGGTGCAACTCGACTTGGGTCAGACGGTTTTCACACTCTTGTGGCTTTGATGAAACAACATCATCTTGCTTTTGAGGTTCTACGTGCAACTTGACTTTGATCAGACGGTTTTCACACTCATGTGACTTTAGTGAGACAACGTCATCTTGCTTTTGGGGCTCTAGGAGCAACTTGAAGTGGGTAACACGATTTTCATGTAATCTCAGCCGTAGTAAAACATGATGTGACCTTTCATTAGTGAGATCAAGATGGATTTCAAGAAACTTTGAGTTTTCCATGAAACTCCTTACTTTCCATGCCCTTGCCAAAATGTAGACGGTTTCAATCAGAAGACATGCGACATAAATTCCATTGACTGCAAGGACAGCGTTCATCCAGAAGATTTTCTTTACCGCTCGTTGATTGTTACATTCGTGAAAAGTACTGTTTCGGCTGGCGTCAGATAAATTCCTTGGCTGTTCGGTTCCAGAGTTAAAATAACAGCCAAACGTATAGGGAAACTTTGAAGGATAAAGCAACTGAGTTTGAAGGATCATGAAAAGAACTCCCAATACAATTCTTATGGACAGTTGACAGCAGTAGGCGATGAAAAGCTGTTTTCCCGTCGAGGTTTCCTTCTTTTGGTCGCTCGACTGGCTCTCAGGGTCACCGTTACGAGTGCTAGGCAGCGACAGGCGATCGACTGTAGATCTCGCTACAAGGGAATACATAGCACATACAATACCAATCACGAGGAAATTCATGACCACGAAGCCATAGGTTGGAATCCCGTATTTGTTGTACTGCTCCTGGTATTGCACGAAACATTTTCCACGGACAAGATCAACGTCTCCGCTCTTCGCCCCACCACAACGGAAATCAAATCTGGATTCGGCGTTTTCCACTTCAATAAAAATGCCAAGGAAGATTGCACAAATCAGGAACCAAATTAGAACTGCTGCATGGCTAAATTTGTTGAATGTTTTCGGCGCAAGTACTTCCTTGAGATTATCCATCGTTTCAAATTACTGTTTGCTTTTCGTCCCTGCTTTCGATGAGATAAACGTCGCTCTATAGCTTAGGTTGTGGGCTTCCGTTTACTCATTCTTTCAGATTCGCACGCCATCATTTTCTCGACTACACGGGAAGCTGATATTGGAAACTGAAATAGGAATATGAAATAGACTGATGTATGTTGCTTGTGTAACATTTTCCTAATTTTAATGCGTGAGATGTTATGAAATGTAGTCGAAATAGGCTCCGCAGAATCAATTTCAAGTATGGTGAGAAGTTTCGCTTTCTGAGGTACGCTCAATACTGAGTTATACTTTAAAAATGACTGAAATGTCAACTGTCATTGAAAACTCTCCCTTCACTGTTGATTTCGCCGAAGACCAGGGCTTTTTTCTGAGTATGAAAGCTTTCCATCACGGACTTGATCGCTCGAATCTTATTTTCTCCCAAGAGGCTGTAATTTTTTATGTTTTCACTTTTGCCTTGGCCTGAAAACTGTGACTAACTAGTAAATCATGATAAGACTCCCGTTGAAAATGAAACCAGGCATTTTTAGCCGACCGTCATATGTTCCTCTACGGAACTACCTTTCATGCAGATTTTCATAATTGCAAAGTATCCTTGTATTTTCCCAATGAATAACGTAATGAAAACAAGTGTAACCCGAAAACACTGACCCCCAGTCCATGGACCCCCTACGAACCTGGTTCAAGGACCCTCTACGGACCCCCCTTTACGGACCCCCCATGAAAAGACAATAATAACAATGACAACTTATAGAGATTTGACCTACCGTTGTTTTTTCGTTCGCGGTGGCGAAATTTTGACTGTTAATATTCCAAATATTACCATGGCAATGAAAGGAGGAAAAAAGCTGACTAAAATGTAAGAAAAAAAGAAAGAAAAAGACCGATAACTTAGCTAACTTGTGTATATATATCCTTCTGCATTCGCTGCCACCGATTGCCTCCGCCATTTGTTCGGCTCAATCCCCCGCGTGTTCATTGACTCGATCCAGGCTTCACAAAATAGTGCTCCTTCGACAAACAAAGATGTCCATTTTCATTAGACTCTTTAGAGATCGCGATATTTGACAGTTATGTGTTTAGTTGCCAAATCTTTCAGCAGGGCGACTTTTATTCAATGATCGATAGACGAGGGAAAATACCGCGCAGCTTTCGAAAAGCCAGGTCACCTTCAGACTCACTCTTGTTCAAAGGCTTGGCAACTAACAGTCAAAAATTTCGCCACCGCGAACAAAAAATCAACGGTAAGTCAAATCTCAATAAGTTGTCATTGTTATTATTGTCTTTTCATGGGGGGTCCGTAAAGGGGGGTCCGTGGACCGGTCCGCACAGGGGTCCGTGGACCAGGTCCGTATGGGGGGTCCTTGGACTTGGGGTCAGTGTTTTCGGGTTACCCTGAAAGCAATAGCCACTTCATTATGCATGTATCTTATGTGCTAACTCGCCTGAAATTAAACAGCTTTCAGCACTGCTACGTGTTGATCTCAGTGGGGTTAACCGTCAGTTAACAGTCAAACTACAGTTTTTTCTTTTTTTTTTTCCGTCAATTGCCAATAAAGCAAGCATGTGTAAGCCGTCAAATCCGTTGTCTAAGAAATGGTATTGAGTCGAGGTATGCTATGTATAAACACTGTCGCCACATTATAAACAAAAGGCTCTATAACTCCTTTTATCAACCTAAGGAAAGACCTGACATCCACCTACAAACAAATCTGGTGGAAAAAAGATTGCTCTTAACTTTGAAGTAAAAAACTTAACTCAGCGAGTTGGGCTTTAAACTTAAACTTGGGAAAAAAAAGGTGGTATAACTAAAGATACTTCGGCAAGTTTCGTCCGACTAACACGCATTTAACTGAGAACATTTTTTTTTTCTTCTTGACAAAATTGATTTCTTTGAAATGTTTGAAATAAATTACAGTCGAACTTGTATTAGCGGTCAGCCACAGGGTTTGACGGGGTGACCGCCAAATACAGGTTCCATAGATCAGGGTTATTTTAAAAAACCATTAACAGTGATAAACAATGGCACTCTATGAGATGAATGAGTACAGAATCTCGCTCAGAAATATAACTTACGTTGATTTTGGGAGAGAGACGGATTAAAAATTATTTGAAAGACAATTCTTAGTTTTAATCGAGTAAAGGGAATGTACGATCTAGATAAAGTTTATCTTAATTAGAAGATTCTTTCCTCAGGAGTTCGAAAATAACCGCCATTTTGTTGTCAAGTTTGGCTTACATTAGCGACAAGAGCGCTTTGAAGTTGCCCTTATTTACAGCGAAGACTCCCAGCGAGATATATGGGCATGAAAGTTGTCCTCTTTGACCTTCGCTTCGAACTGAAATTTGTGTTTACCTTATCTTCATTCAACACAAATTTCATTCATTTATTCTATAGTTTTTTTTTAACCTTTTTATTGCAGGCGAATAAATTGAAGCTCGAAATGGTGATACACCACGTGTGATAAATTCTCAGTCGCCACCCTTGACATGAGCCGATTTTCAACATCGTGCATCTAGCGTCTGTACGCAGGCTAGCTTTTCCAAGCAAAGTATAAATATATCTAGTCTTTCTTTTGTCTGTTGTGAATACATCAAGTAAGTGTTCGTCACCCCGCCAGTCGCATACTCCGAAAAAGAAACTAAAAGGCATTAACACATTGCCAAAAAATAACCCAGACACGTTTGCAACAAATACATATTACCCTTCGCTAACCAGGCGCCCATATTTCAATAAATCATATCAATTTCACACAATGAAAATTATATAGCAATATTTTATATCTTCTAAACATCTACTTGACGTAGTGCTGATACTTTGAAAAGGAATGGAAAGTTTTATTTTAGTTTCATTTATTTCGAGGTAATTTCTAATGTAAACACTATGACAGAGGCGACTTTCTGTCACGCGTCGTAAGTTGCGACGTTTTGAGTACTTTAGAATGAAAAATATTGCGGTGAAGCTAATTCTAAGCAATAAAGATTGAAACACCAATTGCAACTTAAAGGTAAAAGCTGAAACAAACCAAATTTAATTCTTAACAATTAGCTTCTGGCATTCGTCGGAAACTAAATGTTTCTAATCAATTTTTTCGATGTTTACGCATACGAAGAATGATTTTCAAGTTCATCATTTCTAACTTGCTGCATGCCAACTGGGACAGTTCTAAGGTCCAAATGGCTCGTGTTCAGTTAAACTTAAAATCCAAGTCGAGAATTAAATTGGTAGCGCCATAGTTAGTAGCTATGGTAGCGCTCTGTTCGCCGCTGTTTTCCTTGTTTACATCCATCTCAGCAGGGATTCAAATGACCATGCTTGACTATTGCTACGTCACAAATGTTATTATTTAAGCAACAAAGAAAGAAATAAATACAAAAGTGAAAGAAATACCCACCAGAATGTAGCAAAACTAATCGAGTCGGGTGGTTGCAAACAGTATTAGAATATATCAAGGAGGTTGGAAATAAAAATTACAAGATTACAATATTGTTAATTTAGAGAAGCGAAATTGATTCAAACAAGTATATGATTATGAATAACAACGAAGTAAATAAAAGTATGAATAGTTTACAGTAGGTTATTGATGTAAATAAATATAGAAGGTGCTATTTTAGTTCCATAAGTCCAGCAGTCATTTTAGCAACAATCATTTTTCTTTTAGAGTCATGATTGTTTTCATTGTTGAGTAATTTTAACAAAACTGTATGGACTTTTTTTGCTAAAAGACCTTTTAGGCAATGAGCGCAAGCTACATGGGAGATTATTCCATACTTTAGGACCAAGTCTTAAAAATAAAGAGAGTTATTGGTTAAGCCTTGTTTTTTTTACATAATGATTGCCAGCATTAGAAAAGCTCGTATTGTATATGTGAATTTTATGAGATTGAGTGAAGAGATTTGATATTTTAGAGGGTGTAATGCAGATGATACATCATGCATTTGGGCAACCACAGTTTTAAGGTACAACATGTTAACCGGTAAAATATTTGCAGAAATAAATAGTTGTGTAATATGAGCTCTGTATTCCATACCGTAAGTAAATCCAAGAACACGCTTTTGTAAAAGAAGAATTTTGTTCATATGAGTTTCAGCAGCTTGACCCCAAGTAACTATGCCATAGTGTATATAGGGAAAAATCAGAGAATAATAGCTTTTGAGGAGTGTGTCAGACGGGACAAAACGTCTGATGTTGGCGATTACACCTACAGTTTTACTTATTTTGCAAACTATGTGATTAATATGATGTTTCCAACTTAGAGTACTATCAATAAGGACTCCCAAGTACTACACGTATTCCTTATGTTCCATGAAAGTGATAGTGTTGGTATTGTTATCAATTATTTTTAAGTCAATAGTTGAATTTAGTTTCTTTTGTGAGGGGCGGAAGATTACATAATTAGATTTCTTAGTATTCAAAGTTAATTTGTTACCATTTAGCTAGTCAGTAACGTTTTTCAGCTCAATATTAACAGCAGCCAGCACTAAACTATCAAGCATTGAACGTTACAATGAAAATATTTGTAAGAAGACCTTTAATTCTATTTTAAATGATAAGAGTAACCGGTTAAGAAATCTTTTACCCTCAGCCCATGAGTCGTCTTACCATCTTAGACGATGCGGGCGTTTTGAAGCACCAAGGTGGAAAACAAATAGGTTCAGGGACACATTTTAAATGAAATCTTGCATTGAGCATGATATTATATAAATATAGCTTTATTAATTTTAATAAAAGGTTTCATCATTTTACAGTATTCAATTTCACTTTTAGGCTTCTTATATTTTTAKKWT